GTGGTATGTTTTGTCCTTGTGTATTGACGCTGTGGTATGTTTTGTCCTTATGTGATGACGCAATGGTATAGTTTGTCCTTTTTTGTTGACGCAGTGGTATGTTTTGTCCTTGTGTATTGACGCTGTGGTATGTTTTGTCCTTATGTGATGACGCAATGGTATAGTTTGACCTTTTGCGTTTACGCTGTGGTAAATATAACAATTGTATGGCAAGCCAACTTAACATTTATTCAAGGTGCAATGTTGATCCTGTATTTCATCGAATTATATAAGCTATCTTATAGAATTATATAAAATATCTTATATATAATAGAGATATCTTGTACAGTATATATGAGATATCTTATATAATATATAAAATATTTCATATTGTTTATACTATTTCTTATATAGTATATGCTATCTTATATATTCTATATGATATCTTATATACGATATTAGATATGATATTTTTTGAAATACAGAACGACATTGCTCCTTGAATAAATTTTAAGACTTGCCATACAATTTTGTATTTGGGATACTAATTGAGATATTTAAAGGACACATTTTTCTATATAACAGTTCTATAGATCATTTATGCCCTATCGATCAAATTACGAATATTAATGTTTGACCTATCTAAGAGTGGGTGGAGCATAGATACTGTCCATACCTATATTAAACTGTATTTGAGACAGTTGTGTTATTGAGGCATGCGTGAAAATGTAAAAGAAAACTGCAGGGTTCAATTTCCTTGTTTTAAACAGTTGATCCAAGACTGAAAGGAATACTTCATTGGTGTTGTATTATCTAACGAATTATTAAGAGTTTTTAGTTTTTATATTCAGAGATGAATTTCTTTCAGTATCCGTCACGGACGATGAAGAATCTAACGTTGATGAGAACTGTGCTTGTTTACTTGCTCTTGTGGCTTCATATGGGAACTACAATCGGTCAGTTACCAACACAATCTAGTCCGGCACTACGTCTTTTGATTTCTCGACTCATCACTGACGTCAAATCGCTGTAAAATATCGTAAAACTTCTTAAATCGGTAAGTATTTATATTTTTATAGATTTGGTTTGTTTGTGTTTAACGTCCTATTAACAGCTATGGTTATTTAAGGGCTTACCAGGTTTTGGTGGTGGAGGAAAGCCAGAGTTCCCGGAGAAAAACCACCGACTTTTTGCAAGTACCTGGGGACTGCCCCACGTAAGTTTTGGACCTGTGACCCTGTAGTGGGGGGCTAGTGGTAGCAGAATGTCAGACGCCTTATTTAAAGACAAATGCATTTCGTTATTAGGAATTTGTACTTATTGATACCGTCTCTCAACTTAATGCAAAGTAGTATTTTGTATCCATTAAGTGTTTTGATGTATTTTTGATTTAAACTATATTTATTCAAGTTATTGAATACATGACATTAATAGTACAAATCAAATCAGCAAACATGATGAAGAAAGAAGTACGGTGTTCTTATATAAATCCTTATCTTCTTTCTAACAAACTAGTGGCCTTATGCATAAGTTATATTTGATAATATTTCAGGTACCTGAAAACAAATGAAACATAAGATACATTAATATTCCATGAAATAATTGGTAATCATATCTTCATCAGAGACTTCAGTTGACATTATTAGACAACTTGTGTCGCAACTGAAAACAACAAACCTCCTCAAGAGCTCGCCTCGAACTTTTAAATGTTTTGTTGGTATGCATTAATTGTTACCATCAATTAAATATTTTCCTATTGTTCATCGTCATAGAAGCGATGTCATAGATCAGTGACTGTCTCTATATTATCCTAATGTAAATAGGTCAAGATCTTAATGTCTAAATATAGCGGATCTTCAATGGTTTCATTTGAATGCAATGCAATTTAAAGGGCCTGTTTCCAGTAATGTTAATTCTCCATAGGAGCCTGCCCCCGTATAATTTCTTATCTAGCTCAACTACTGTTTTTTTCTTTTCCGAAGAATAATTTTACACCTTTCCGACACCCAGATTTCATAATTTCAGTGAAAATGTATTTTTATAAAGTTGTCAATTTCAGCATCAAAGACATAAGTTCGTAAATAAAAGAAGGTTATCTCGAAATTGTAATTCGCAACATAGTATAAATTTCTTTTGATAAATATTTCCAAAACATCGTGTTTATTCATAAAAC